CCCGGGCTGGCTTTGAACTACAATCCTCAGGTCTTAGCCTCCTGTGTAGCTAGGATTATAGGCGTGAGCCACCGGCGCCCGGCTCCACCAGTAATTTCTTTTTTTTTTTTTTTTTTTTTGGGTCCAGTCATGGGGCCTGAACTAGGGGCCTGGGCGCTGTCCTTCAGCTCTTCAGCTCAAGGCTAGTGCTCTAACACTGGAGCCACAGCTCCACTTCTGGCTTTTTTTTTTCTGCTTATGTGGTGCTGAGGAATCGAACCCAGGGCCTCATGCATGCAAGGCAAGTGCTCTACCACTGAGCCACCTTCCCAGCCCCTCCACCAGTAATTTCTAAGTAAATAGTTCCATCAAGAAAACATGCTGGAGCAGGGCGGGACAGGAAGTTACCTGAAGCTGGATGCCATAGCCTCCATCAGGCAGTTTTTGGGTTATTTTTCACAAGAAGAGAGAAACTTCCACAAACTGCCCATTAGAGAGTTAGAAGAAGGTGGGCAAATGTATACAGTAATGTTTCTATACCTGGTTTGCAGCCCATTAAGCTGGCACCGTGCCCACTCCACCCTCAGACCCTGGGAAGTGTTGGGAGGATTAGCTAGGGCCCTGTTCCTGGACAGGCTTGTCAGTAATGTTACTTAAACTGTCTTTACAGTTGTTGAAGAGAAGCTGTAGAATGGAAGGCAGACTGCTGGTTAATGTTTTTTAAACTTGAAAGTCAAGAATACTTTCCTAGGCGAGAGCATCAACGCTTTTTTTTTTGCCTTCCCTGCAACTCCTCTGGTCAGTGTTAAGATCTTCAATTTCCCCAGTACTGGGGGTTTGAACTACAGGCATCACACTTACTAGGCAGGTGCTCTGCCACACATTCATAGGCAGGCTGCTTTGTATTAAGGACTGGCATCTGAACACCTGGAAAGCTTTCCTGGCATGATACCCATGTCCTGGTGTTGCTTTCCTGGCAAAGGCCTTTGCTTGTGCTCCGAGTGGCATCCCTTGAGCAGGTCTGTTGCACGCATGGTGTGGGAGTGTGGAAAGTACTCGCTCATCTGTCAGCATCCAGCCCCGGCCACCCGAGATGGGTGCTGCCCGGGCAGAGCCCCGGCCCCGGGCCAGCCTGTCTGGCTTGGAAAGCTAGCTAGCTCTGCCACTTCCTCCCCAGGATTCTGGGTTCCTGTAGCTTCACTTTGTCAGGATTAAATGACTTAAGTCTCCGAGAGCTCTGAGCCAGTGGGAGCCAGCTCCCTCCTGCCTCTGTGTGGTGCAGACACAGCCCTGGGGGTTTTCTCTAACCACAGCCTGCTTCTTCTCTCATTCAGAGGTGCATGGGTCTCGTGTGGGCGTCTTCTTATTGCTCTGTACTAGGCTTTCAGACGTGCTTTTCAGGGGAGACACTGACGACACTCAGAATCGAGGTGCATATGGGGTACTTTCTACCCTTTCGCCACCTTCTTAGTGAGCAGGAGATGAAGTCAGCTGATGCCAGGAAGGTGGAATTCCAGCCCGTGATGCTTTAGTTCACTTAGTGGCCCTAACTCCTACTTAGCTGTTCACCCTCTGCCCTTCTCTCCACTCTCTGGCTCCTGGGGAGCCCCGGTGGTTTCGGGTTCCTCTCTGCTTCTGGCCGTTCCCTGCCAGGCATGCTCCTTCCTCTCTGCTCTGGTCAACCCGAGGCCTCTGGACTTGTGTGAAGTCCTCCTTGTCCGAGACCTCCTTCATTCCCCACAGAGCAGTTGTTTATAGAGTCAGGACCGAGAAAGACAATGTAGCACAGGCTCCAGCCTATAATCATAGCTACTTGAGAGGTGGAGATTAAGGCGTTATAGTTCAAGGCCAGCCTAAATGTGAGAGGCTGTCCGTCAGTCAGTGGCTGGTCATGGCTGCCTGTGCCTCACATCCCAGCAGCAGAGGGAGCCCAAATAGAGGCCAGCCTGCTGCAAGTGATACCCTGTGTGTGCGTGTGTGCGTGCGTGAGTGCGGGCGGGCGGGGCGGCGCACGGGCGCCCGTGTACAAGTATACAAGTCCAGGGGCTTGAACTCTGGGTCTGGGCTCTGTCCCTGAGCTGCTTTTGTTCAAGGCTAACGCTCTACCACTTGAGCTCAGTTTTTTGGAAGTTTAGCAGAGATAAGAGTCTCACAGATGTTCCTGCCCAGGCTGGCTTTGAACAGCAATCCTTAGATCTTAGCCTCCTGAGTAGCTAAGATTACAGGCATGAGCCACCTGCGTGTCCAGCTAGACCCTTTCTGGTAAAGAAATACAGAGACTAGTGGGGGCTGGGAAGGTGGCTCAGTGGTAGAGTGCTTACCTAGCATGCATGAAGCCTTGGGTTCTAGTCCTCAGTACCACATACACAGAAAATGCCAGAAATGGTGCTGTGGCTCAGGTGGTAGAGTGCTAGCCTTGAGCAAAAGAAGCTAAGGGACAGTGCCTAGACCCTGAGTTCAACTGCCAGGACTGGTAAAAAAAAAAAAAAAAAAAAAGTAAAAAGAAAGGGAGGGCTGGGAAGGTGGCTCAGTGGTAGAATGTTTGCCCTGCATGCATGAGGCCCTGGGTTTGATTCCTCAGCACCACATAAACAGAAAAAAAAAAAAATAAGCTAGAAGTAACTCTGTGGCTTAAGTGGTAGAGCGCTTGCCTTGAGCTGAAGAGCTGAGAGACAGCGCCCAGGCCCAGAGTTCAGGCTCCATAACCGAGGAAAAAGAAAAAGAAAGGGACTGTTGAAGTGGTAAAGTGGTAGAGCATCTGCCTGGCAAAAGCAAGACTCTTGAGTTCAAATCTCAGTATTGCCCAATAAATAAATATACGAATGAGTGAACAAATAAATAAATAATAAACCGTTTGTTGTCAAAAATTCCCTGATTGACACCAGGAACTAAACATACCCAAGCCCTTTATCTGACAGACGTTCTTAGAAGGACACACACTTGAGGCCTCCTAAGCTTCCAGGGTGTGGACAGCAAGAATGTCTGCCCCAGGCGGGGTTAGGCTAGGGAAGCACACGTGTACTAACACAGATTGACCACTTCATGTGGAAAGCCAAGTGCAGGCCCCTCTCACAGCCCTGGATTGTGCGAAAACAACACATGTCCTTTCAACTTTTTGCTTGAAGATAATTATAGACGCACAGGAAATTGCAAAAGTAGAACACAGAGTCCTGCTCCCCACATGGGTGACATAACTGTAGCACACATTGCCTCCAGGAAGTCGCCGTTGGTACGGTGCTGTCCCTGTCCCGTGCCACAAGACGAGCTCCACCCCCCCCCCCATCAGTGCCTGTGCACTGGGGGCATCACATCTGCTCACGCATGGGATTGCAACCTGTGTCGGTGCCACATTTATCAGGTGAAGCAGGCGAAACAGCGGTTGATTGTCCTTGGGGAGGCTTAATGTGGTGGCCAAAGGTGACAGGGTATGAGACCCTCTTTTTCACTGTCACATTAAACTTTTGTGTGTGTGTGCGTGTGGGTCCCTGAGCTTTTGCTCAAATCTAGCATTCTACCACTTTGAACCGCAGAGCCACTTCCAAGCCTGTGACTGTGAGCGGACTCATGTCTCAAAAAACTCACAGCCTCAAATGCAGTTAACACAAAGCTTATAAAGGCCAAACCACATGATTAGTATAAGGAACTAACCCCAGGTGCTGTGTTCAAGCACCAGGACCAGCCTGTAATCCTAGCTAGTTCATGCCTGTCATCCTAACTACTCAGGAGGCTGAGATCTGAAAATTATGGTTCTAAGCCAGGCTAGGCAGGAAAGTCTGTGAAACTCTTATCTCTAATAAACCACCAGAGAACTGGAAATGACACTATGGCTCAAAGTGGCAGAGTGCTAACCTTTTTTTTTTTTTTTTCTGGTCATAGGGCTTGAACTCTGGGGCATGGGTGCTGTTCCTGAGCTCTTCAGCTCAAGGCGAGCGCTCTTCCATTTGAGCCATAGCACCACTTCCGGTTTTCTGGTGGTTTATTGGAGATAAGAGCCCCACAGACTTTCCTGCTCAGGCTGGCTTTGAACTGTGATCCTCAAATCTCAGCCTCCTGAGTGACTAGGATTATAGCCGTGAGCCACCGGCGCCTGGCTAGAATGCTAGTCTTAAATGAAAGAGCTCAGGGATATCACCTAGGCCCTGAGACTGAGAAATTTAATAAAGAAAATTGTGTGCTTGGCGCCAGACACCCTGAAGTCTTCCTCTTCCTCTGTTCCCCTGTGTAGCTTGTTGGGATACTTTAGAGCAAATGCAGGCATCTTGCTTTTCTCTTTTGAGCACCTCAGCACACCTGGAACTTGTCTCCCGCGTAGCAGACCTTTAGAACTGGCAGTGTTTTCCAGGCAGTTATCAGCCTCACAGATTTACAAGGAAAACTTCCAGGGGTGTCAGTATCAAAACGGTTCCAGCTCTGCTCTTATGGTGGGGGCACTTCCGCTTTGTGTCCCCCTGGCTGCCCTGGTGGGCGTGGGCTTCCACCTTGTGTCCCCAAGGTGGTCCAAGCCAGTGATTTTTGTACTAGAGTGTCATCTCAGTGTCGGACATCCCAGGTGGCCTTCCCTGCCTGTCACCAGGACACGTGGCGATACGTGGCGACCTCTTGGTTGTCACAGATGGTGGGGTGACATGGGGTCAGGGGCTGCCACCAGTGGGTAGACTGCTCACATCCCGATGGCACTTGTCTGGCGCCAAGCACCAGCCCTGGTGGAGCTGACACTCCTCAAGCGTGTGACTTGCAGGAGCCGCCTGGTGCCCGCTATGCCCTGCTCTGTGTGGGCACACCCTCCTGACATCTGCCAATGCTGGGGTGAACACAAGCCCTCCATCCAGGGAGCTCCCCTTGGAGTGTCCGCAGAAATGGTTTAGAAATTTGTGGGTTCTTGGGGAGGGTGTCTAGAACCCTTGCCTAACTTGGAGATGGGTGTGTCCACCACTCATTCGAGGGGTGGTGAATTAGGGGTGTGGTGAAGGTGATCCAGGAGCCCAGGTGCCTGATGGGATGTGTGTCCTGTTCCTTTGCAGACCGTGCCCCCAGCAAGCGGATGTGCGGGGTAACATGTCCAGCGTGTCCGAGGAGAGGAGGAGAAGGCAGCAGAATATCACGGAAGGACTGCAGTTCATCCAGTAAGAGAGCCGAGCGCGCCTGTCCTGCCTCCTTCTCAGGGCCTTCTTGTCTGGGGTGGGGGTCGCACATTTTTGCCAACATGAAGAACTTTGCTCGAGTGTAACAGGTCCTGGTAGTGGGGTTAGACGTGACATTTGTGCTCTGAAGTGAGCCTTGCTGTTGCTGGTTTTGAGGGCGTCCACAATACTGAACTGGAGTGTTGGCGTTTGTCTTCCTCCGTCTGTCTGCATGGAGTGCTGAGGTCCTCCGACATTAGGAAATGTGCTAGTGACGGGTGACAGCCCTGGGGTGGGGGGCAAGCGGGCGGATCAGAAGGAGACCTTGTCCTCCAGTAAATTGGATCAGATAGTGTTAGGACTTCTGAACTATTTTTAACCTCTTTGGTATTTGAGGAATTAGGCCTTCTTTTAATAGAAGTACATTTGAAAGGATCATGGTATACTTAAGAAAATAACAGGAATAACTTAGATTTTTTTTTTTCTTCATAGCAACCACAACAAATACTACTGGTAAAGGAGATGTGAATCTTTCTTTTAAAAGTGCTTTGTGGAGCTGGGCAACAGTAGCCTGTAATCCTAGCTACTCAGGAGCTGAGGTCTGAGGATCACAGTTCAAAGCTAGCCTGGGCAGAAAAGTCCCCAGAAGTGATGCTGTGGCTCAAGTGGTAGAGCACTAATCTTGAGCACAAAGAGGCTCAGGAACAGCACCCAGGCCTTGAGTTCAAGTCACAGGATCAGCGTGTGCGCGTGTGCGTGCGCGTGTAAACGCACATAGACAGATAGACACACACATACACACACTCAAATGTGTTTTGTGCCAGCAGCCAGCTGATTGGATCCACAGTTTAAGAACGTGTTTAAGAACATGTTCTGCTATGTGCCCAGTTCTGACTTTTTTTCTTGTTCTTAGGTCTCCACTGTCATACCCAGGGACCCAGGAACAATATGCGGTAATGACCCTGGGAAGGTGGGCTTGGAGGTTGGGCGTGGATTGCTGGGGAGCTGTAATCTTCAGCAGAGGCTGCCACACTCCGATCTTGTGGCTCAGATCAGCACAGCTGCCCTTGTTCACAAATAAAGTTTTATTGAAATGTCCCAGCCACATGCTGCTGTTGGTATATTATCTGTGGCTGCCTTTGTGACAATGTGGCCGTTGGGACAGAGATCATACAGCCCAAGAAGGCTTAAAATAATCACTATTTTAGCATTTATGGAAAAGTTTGCCAAACTCGGCTAGGCAGCTTTTGTGGAGGCATACTTGACTTGGACAGTTACCCTGTATTTGCTGAGTTCGTATCCTTGGAATTAGTTTAGCTTTAGTTTCTTGAAAACTGCCCCTCATTTTACCAAAGATAAGTGGTGCAAGATTGGAGAGGAGAGGGTTGGGTGTGTGGTTTTTATTTGGAGGACAGGGGATCTGAATAGCTCAATGGGAGGGGTTCACGGTGGGCAGCCCTGCCTGCAGGACATAATGGCCAGCTCTTTGAGCCTTGAGCAATAACCAGCAGCTGGTCACCCATGGCTTCTCATCTCTGAGGATTTGGTGCTACTACCTGTCATCTCAGTGCCTTGACCGCTCTCTCTTCCCTTCCTCTTCCATTCAGTTCTTTCCTCTTCCTCTTCCCTGCCTCCATGCTGATGCGGAGTCAGGAAGTATTGAAAGAAGCCCTTTCATTTTGAACCTGGGGCTGGGGCTCACAGACTGTCAAGGTCCTACTAGCTGTTAATCTAGTCAGCTTAGACATGAATTCATAAAATGAGACCAGAAAAGTTTTGACTATTTGTGATATCTTCTGATGGAAAAGGACTTTTGAAATACCTTAGCAATGACAGACAAAACTTTGGTACCAACCCAGAGAATGTCCACCCTTACTAAAGAAAATGACTTAGCTCCCATCCCTCCCCCAAACCAGTAAATGACCAGGCAAATGCTTTACATAAGACGCCATACTCTCAAGGCTGTGAAAACCAAAAGTCACACAAAGAAAAAAAGGACAAATAGTATTTTTCTACTAGAAACTGTCCAATGATACACAGGCGCACGTACAGGCACTCATTTACATATGCATGTCTTCTGTCAGAGGTGAAGTTAGTGTAAAACCATGTGCTGACATGTTCCTCATTGTGTAAGCGGGACCTGGCTCGGAGCGATCTTGCTGTGGTAGGCTCAAAATCAGAGCTGGGCACCGGCGCCTCTTGACTTAAAAAGGCCAGAGTCCCTACAGGAGGCACCCATGGCTCTGTGCCAGCATCTTAGCTGCTTCCCTGCTCCTGTCAGATGGGTTCTGAGAAGTGTTACATTTAAACCACAGAGGGTACTTAGACCCCCATCTTGCTTACAGAGGCAGCTTTCTCATTTTAGGTGTATTTGCGTGCTCTTGTGAGAAATCTTTTTAATGAAGGAAATGATGTTTATCGGGAACGTGATTGGACTAGCTCAATAAGCCAATATACAGAAGCCTTGAATATAGCTGATTATGCAAAGTCTGAAGAAATTTTAATCCCTAAAGACATCATTGAAAAACTGCATATAAATCGTATTGCCTGCTATTCTAATATGGTGAGTGTGTTTTTTGAAACAGTGTTTCTAGAGGGAAGATCTTCCTCATTGCTATGTAACATTTCTCTGTGTATGTGGGGTATGGGATGTGTGTTTGAACCCTAACACTGATCTATATCCCCAGCCATCTTCTAGCTTTCTTAAAAAACACAGCATAGGGCTGGGAAGGTGGCTCAGTGGTAGAGCGCTTACCTTGCATGCCTGAGGCCCTGGGTTCGATTCCTCAGCACCACATAAGCAGAAAAAAAAAGCCTGAAGTGGCACTGTGGCTCAAGTGGTAGAGTGCTAGCCTTGAGCTGAAGAGCTGAGGGACAGCGCCCAGGCCTAGAGTTCAGGCCCCACGACCAGACCCCCCCTCCAATAAAAAAACCACAGCTTATTGTTACCTGTGCTCACCCATGACATTTTTCTCCTCCTCCTCCTCCTTCTCCTCCTTCTTCTCCTTCTTCTCCTCCTCCTCCTCTTCCTTTTCCTCCTGTCTTTCTCCTTTTTTGCTAGTCATGAGATGAGACTTAAACTCAGGGCCTAGGCACTATCCCAGAGCTTTTCTGCTTAAGGCTAGTGCTCTACCACTTTGAGCCACAGCTCCACTTCCACTTGCCTGCCTGGGCTACCTTTGAACAGTGGTCCTCAGATCTCAGCCTCTCCAGTAGTTAGGATTATAGGCGTGAGTCATCAGCGCCTAGCTACCCATGACTTTATTTTTTTTGGTCAGTAGTGGAGGCTGAACTCTGGGCCTTGGTGCTGTCCCTCAGCTCTTCAGCTCAAGGCTAGTGCCCTACCCTTGAGCCACAGCACCATTTCTGGCTTTTTTCTGCTTATGTGGTGCTAAGGAATGGAACCCAGGGCCTCATGCATGTGAGGCAAGCACTCTACCACGTAACCAACTTCCCAGCCCCTACCCATGACATTTTTAATGTACTTCAGAAAGGTGACAACCCAGGGTTGCTTAGGATGGGGAGGGGCACTGGACACCAGCCATGTCACCCAACTTTATCTCTTGGGGACCTGAGCATTCATGGCCAAATAGTAACATGCAAATGTTCCTGACTTTTTTTTTTAAACAGTCATAGGGCTTGAACTCAGGGCCTGGGCACTGTCTCTGAGCTTCTTTTGCTCAAGGCTAGCACTCTACCACTTGAGCCACAGCACCATTTCTGGCTTTTTCTGTGTATGTGGTACTGAGGAATTGAACCCAGGGCTTCATGCATGCAAGGCAAGCACTCTACCACTGAGCCACATTCCCAGTCCATGACATTCTTTTTTTTTTTTTTTTTGTCGGTCATGGTGCCTGAACTCTGGGCCTGGGCGCTGTCTCTCAGCTCTTCAGCTCAGGGCTAGCACCCTTGGCTAGCTACCACTTGAGCCACAGCGCCACTTCCGGCTTTTTTTGCTTATGTGGTGCTGAGGAATCCAACCCAGGGCCTCAGGCATGCAAGGCAGGTGCTCTACCACTGAGCCACTTTCCCAGCCCCCTGACATTCTTTCTATTTCTGTGTATTTGAAATCTTTTTTTTTGCCTGTCGTGGACCTCTGGGCCTAGGCGCTGTCTCTCAGTTCTTCAGCTCAAGGCAAGCGCTCTACCGCTTGAGCCACAGCGCCACTTCCGGCTTTTTCTGTTTATGTGGTGCTGAGGAATTGAACCCAGGGCCTCAGGCATACAAGGCAAGCCCTCTACCACTGAGCCACCTTCCCAGCCCTGTATTTGGAATCTTATAACAAAAATCACCCACACAGGAAACGAGCGCTTTGGGTGTGGGTGAAGGGCCTCCCACAGGAGTGTGGTGTGGCACTGACTCTCTCTGGCCTTCCACTCAGGGTTTCCACGAGAAGGTTTTGGAAGACTGCAACGCTGTCCTCAGCTTCAATAGCGGCAACTGCAAGGCTCTGTATCGCAAGTCCAAGGCCTTAAGTGACTTGGGAAGGTACCGAGAGGCTTATGACGCGGTGGCCAAGTGCTCCTTAGCAGTGCCTCAGGTATGCACCTAACACTCCAGTTCATCTACTTTCCCACCTGCCTCTGGCCTGCTCTCTTATACCCAGTTAGAGGAATGGCAGTGAATGGGTTAAATTTCCCACATAGCTGCCAGCCTGCAGGACAAGTGTGTAGACAGGGAAATGGCGCCTCTTTTCCCTGTTCTCCGGCCCGGTTAGCCGGGTATCCTTCCATGAATTATACATGTTGTCTTTTTTTCAGGATGAACATGTAATCAAACTAACACAAGAGCTAGCTCAGAAATTGGGATTTAAAATAAGGAAAGCATACATTAGAGCTGAGGTAAGCGAGAGTTCTCCGCATTAAGGTCGTCTTCATTTTGCCTTAGTACTTGGAGTCATTTGTGTTTCTAAAGATGTGTCCTGGTTTTATTCCAGCTCTCAATGAAAGCAGTCCCTGGGGATGAAGTTACTAAGGTAAAGTCACTGTCTGTGTCAGAATTTACCTTAAGAGTCCTGCTGTTCACCTCTTCAGTGTGAGCCTCCTAACTCCACAAGCTCATAGCAGGCCATAGCTTCCATCACTTACTTTATATTTTAATTTTGGCAGGTCCCAGGGCTTGAACTCTGGGCCTAGATGTTGTCCCTGAGCTTTTATGCTCTATACTAGAACTGTATCACTTTGAACCACAGCTCCATTTCTGGACTTTTTGGTGGTTAACTGGAAATAAGAGACTCATGGACTTTCCTTGCCAGAGCTGGCTATGAACCAAGATGCTCAGATCCCAGTCTCCTGAGAAGCTAGGAAGCTCGTATAAAGTGGGCCACCAGTGCTCAGACAAGTTACAGTTTCTTTATTTCGTTGTAGTTTGATTTTCAAGCTTAAGCCAAGTCTTGTATTAGAGTAGCTAGGATGCCAGCTGCCATGGCGAAGGGATTAGAAGTGGAGTGGTAACTGGATTAGTCCTTGGTGTTCAGCCAAGTAGTTTTTGTTTTTTGTCAGTCCCGGGCTTGAAATCAGGGCTTGTGCACTGTCCTGAGCTTCTTTTGCTCAAGGCTAGCACTCTACCACTTGAGTCACAGTGCTCCTTCTAGCTTTTTGGTGATTAATTGGAGATAAGAATCTCATGAACGGGGCTGGGAAGGTGGCTCAGTGGTAGAGTGCTTGCCTTGCATGCCTGAGGCCCTGGGTTCGATTCCTCAGCACCACATAAAGGAAAAAAAAAAAAAGAATCTTATGAACTTTCCTGCCTGGGCTGGTTTCAAACTGTGATCCTCATATCTTAGTTTCCTGTGTTGCTGGTTACAGATGTGGGCCACTAGTGCCTGGCTCCGAGTGGCCTTTGAGCAATGTGGGCCACTAAAAATAAGTGGTGGTGGCCAGATAGGCTGATGCGTCCTCTCATCCTAGCTCCTCGGGAGGCTGAGGCGGGAGGATTGCTTGGGCCCACATATAATGAGATTCCTCCTCAAAACAAAGGAGCAGGGGCTGGGAAGGTGGCTTAGTGTTAAGAGTGCTTGCCTAGTGTGCATGGAGCCCTGGGTTGGATTCCTCAGTACCACATAAACAGAAAAAGCCAGAAGTGGTGCTGTGGTCAGGTGGTAGATTACTAGCCTTGAGCAAAAGAAGCTCAGGGACAGTGCCCTGGCCCCGAGTTCAAGTCCCAGGAGTGGCACAAAAAAGGAAAAAAAAAGAAAAAGAAGAGCAAAGAGATGCTACTGCTGCTCTGTAGGTTTGAACATGTCTTTAGTTCTGGGAGCTAAGTCAGATTTCTATGCAAGTCTGTGTTGCCCTCTTAAGATGAGTTCTACAAAGTGCTTTGCAGTTTGCAGTTTAGAATGCTGAAAATTCTATGTTTGGTTTGATTTTTAGCCCATGAGCTGTTCCGTGGAGGATATCGAGCCAGGTACGTTTCGTGTTCTCCCTGTGGCGTTGCTCAAGCACCATGGGATGATCCATGTGGCCAGGCGGTGTCACTGGACGGCACTGTCACGTGGCCACGTCTCCCCTGGCCCTTTGCGGTCCCCTCACACTGTGTGAGCACCTTTGCACATCTGTTTCAGATCTATTGACCCCAAGGCAAGAAGTGCTTCCCGTGGTCTCCCTGCCCGCACCTGCTTTTTCTCACGGCGTTGGAAACGAGCTGGCCTCAGTCCCTATGATGCCTTTGACTTCTGTCTTGCCACTGCACGTGGAAGAGAGTGCTCTGCCACCCACGGTGCTGGCCAATGGAGGAAAGACGCCCTTCTCCGCCTCCGAGGCTTTCCTCGACGACGGAGACATGGTCCTGGGTGATGAGCTGGATGACCTGCTTGATTCTACGCCCGAGAGCGAGGACGCCATTATGGTGAGTGGCAGCCTTCAGCCTCTGGTCTGGAGGATTTACTTTTTTGTTTAAATTGCAACGTAGCCTGGGAGGACGCCTTCCCATGTGGCTGCATCAAACTTGGGGTTTCTTACTTTCAAATGATGTGGGTTTTTGTTTGGTGTTGGTCCTGGGGCTTGCACTCAGGACCTGGGCACTGTCTCTTAGCTCTTTTTCTCTGATGCTTTATCACTGGAACTACATACACCTCCACTTCCAGCTGTTTGCTGGTTAGTTGGAGATAAGTCCCACAAACTTTTCTGTCCAGGCTGGCTTTGAATCAAAATCCTCAGGTCTCAGCCTCCTGAGTAGCTAGGATGACAGGCGTGAGCCACCAGGCGTAAGCCCGGCACTACATTGTTCTGGGAACACAGTCTTGGGCCCTCTTGTGCTATCTGCATCTGCCACCACTGCTGTGTGAGTAGAGTGGGTGCGGAGGGGACCACGTCACCTGCCAAGCCTTGGTCCTTCCTAGAGAGCACTTCCAACCCCTGCCAAGCAGGGAATATGGAAAGAATATAGAAAGACCCTTCACACCCTGGCCTTGATAAGAAAGAAGAGTGGTGGTGAAATTGTCCAGTGAATCATGGCTCCTATGAAGCTGGTGCAGGACAAGCCCACCTGTGCAGTTTGTTTCTGGGCAGCTAGAAAAGAAGCCGGCAAAACTTGGTCAGCTTATGAATGGTATTCAATCTTTCTTCTCCAGCCCTCAGCTCTAGTCCGAGGACCCCTCCAGACAGCCAGTGTCCAGTCCCGGCTGCCCTTCTCTACTCCCTTGCTGGGAACCTTGCCCCTGGGTGCAAGGTGCGCGCCCCTGCCCTCCTTTGCCGAGCTGTACCCACCTCTGACCTCCTCCCTGGAGGACTTTTGCTCATCTTTCAGTTCATTTGCAATGACCGAGCCCAAACCAGGTAAGCATCCAGCTGAATGCTGCATGATTGCAGTCCCTTATGAGCAGGAGAACGCGTGTTGTCAGTTACAGCCCTGTAGGGACTTGAGTTGTTTTTACTGTAAGGACAAAGGGTAGGCTTGAACCTCCATCGGGAGAGCAAGGAGCCAAGGTGTGAGCATGGACATGGGCCCTGGTGTCCTGCAGGGGGCTTGGTGCGGATGGAGCAAGGTCTCTGGTGCATTTGCCAGTAAAGATCAGCCCTGTCCTAGAGGTTTCAGAGGACAGCGCATCTTGTCCCATCCCGAGCTGGAAACACACCGTTCACATGTACCTGTAGATGATCGCAGATGCCATGTCTGGGGTGTGTGCTCTTAGGCTCAGCATGCTGCCCACAATGCTGAGGGCTTAGGCACACTCCTGTTTTTGTCTTCTTTTTTTTTTTTTTTTCCAGTCCTAGGACTTGAGCTCAGGGCCTGGGTGCTGTCCTGGAGCTTCTTTGGCTCAAGGCTAGTGCTCTACCACTTGAGCCACAGAGCCACTTCTAGCTTTATCTGTTTATGTGGTACTGAGGAATCAAACCCAGGGCTTCATGCATGCAAGGCAAGCACTCTACCACTAAGCCACCTTCCCAGCCCAGTTTTTGTCTTCTTTAACACAAACTTTGTGTGTGTTTTTGTTTTTGTTTTTGTTTTTTGGGGGGGTCCTTGTGAATGTTAGACAGAGCTGTACCACTGAGCAAACCCTCTGCCCTTTATCCATACTAGAAAAAATAGTGAGGCATTGTGATGTGGCTAAAAGGCCTAAATTGAAGCTCATTAAAACTTCTAATTAAAGAGGAGACAGATGGCAGAGAGGGTATAGTGGCAGAATAAGACTGAGTGAGCTGTCCTGCCTTTCAGAGGGAACTCTTTTTCCATTTAATTTTTTTTAATATGTAATTTTATTAGTATTTTTTGTTTATGTGATACTGAGGGATCGAACCCAGGGCCTCATACATGCTAGGCAAGCATTCCACCACTAAGCCATGTTCCCAGTCTCTTTTTCCATTTTTGAATGGGAACAGTTCTCTTAGATTTTTAACAGCCACCTTGATAGGCCTGGCTTAGGTGAGGTCTCCCAGTGGTAGCTCATTATTTGAATTTGGTGACGAAGGGTTATTTCCACTCTGGTTTCTAGAGGGAAGGGAAAGCCTCAGGGCTCTGTGCAAGGCAGTGGTGAACACAAAGGTTTCAGGAGCCCAGGGAGGGAAAGCGTGGGGAGCCAGTGGCAGGCAGCCCCCCTAAACCCTGATGTTCTTATTGCATGGTTAGAAAAGGTCTCTTGAAGTTTTTTTTTTTTGTTTGTTTGTTTTATCATTTTAGATGTGTCCACCTCAACTACTAGAGAGGGATCAACGCTTAACAGGAGTAATTCCTCCCTTTTACTTGTAAGTGCCACTTCCTCTTTTGTAATACATCGCTTCCATTGAACCTCAGTCTTGTAATGAGTAAACTGAATGAACACCGCAGGCTCGCTCATGTTTCCTGTGTGCTGTGGAAGAGTCTGTAAGGCTTGCCTGGAATGCCAGTAACAGATGACACTGTCACAGCAGACCCACACATGGGGCAGGTAGCCCACAGGCTCGAGGGCTGTCACAGATCAGGCACGGGAGGTGCGTGCCGGTGCTGCACAGCATTTGTGTTACTTCAGCACTCACAAAGCAAGGACCACAGGAAGGGGCTCAGACCCACAAGAGAAAATCCTAAACACAGATGGAATCCCCTCGTCCTTATTCTTCGCATGACTCACTGTTCTTTAGTGATAGTACAATATTTGTTGCCTGTTTCTTTTTTTTTCTTCTTGTT